TCAAGACAATGCATACTTTCATACAGCAAGCCGTCCTCAAAGCCGAACTCTTAAATGTAAGTTTAGAGCCTTGTTCCTCATTCTGTGATGGTGTCAAGCAAGGTGTCAAGCATGCTTCCATGAGCTTTTGCTAGCCAGGTTTTTGCAATGGGTGCACTGCAAGAAGCGAGCAATGTCGTCAAGACGGTCTGTGGGTTTTTCGAATTTTGAGATCTTGAACCGGCGCGCTACATCATGGCTAAGCTCGCCGTCGGTGCGCTGGTCGTGCGCATCCTCGATGACCTGCGCTTTCCGTGCAAGGTCCTCGATATTACCTACGCTGATGACGCGACGCCTATTCTCTGGACCATCCAGTACGTGGACGACGGCAACGTCGAGACCATCACCGACGTTGACGAGCTCGAGTTGGATCTGGTGCCAGTGGTGTCCGACGGCCGCTCGCTTGTCGAGGTCGTGGGCTATGTTGTCGCGTTTCTGACGCCTTGGGAGAATGCGACTGTGGTACGCCACGTCTCTCGGCGCCTGCGAGACGTTGTGTCGGAGGCAAGCCACTGGAGACACCTCGACCTTGCGATACAGCCCACGCACGTGGGACTGGATCGCTATCTCCATTTGATACTGCACATGAATACGACCGAAGGGCATGTCCGTAGCGTCGTGCAGTCTCTCAACTTGGCGTCGCTTCTCGTGTCCGACCAGGATGTGCAGAGTCTTGTAAAGCAATGCCCGCACTTGCGTCACGTCAATCTGGCCTACTGCCCGCTTTTGTCGTACCAACTCTTTCCTTTGCTCCACGCGTTGAGCGCATCGTCGTCTCTGTCGAGCCTCGACTTATACATGACGCGCATCATGCACTGGGAGACGGCAGCGCTCACCAACGCGCTTGGCAACGTCGTTACCGTCGCGCCCTCCGGCTTGGTGCCCTTCCGAGCCGACGCATTCACGGCCTCCCGCACTAGCGACGCCACCTTTGCGGTGCACATGCTTGACACGGTTGGCATCGACGCCCAAGGCGACGATGACGACGACTGGCATGCCAAACTCTGCTACACCTGGCCGTACACGCTGCTGCCTGTGGTGTACCTGGCGGGCGAAGCCTACGTGTGTCGATCCCCCGACAATATCGCCCGCTGGCGACGCGAAACAGCCAATAAATTGGGCCCCCCGATGTGCTTGGTGCCCCGGGCACTAACGCCGCGACCAGAGAAAGCACCCGACCCGCTTGACGAGCAAGCAAAGGCTGTGTTTGCCTCGCTGCACGAATGGAAGACGTCGCTGGAAGCACAGGTCGAGACGCTCACGGAAGCGCTTGTGCTGGCCCAACAAGACCACGCTGTCGCCAAGCACGAGTATGATCTCGCCGAGCGTCAGCGGGCCGCCGTCGAGCGCGACGCCAACCGCGCTGTCCTGGCGCTGTCTCTGGGCCACGCCAGTGGTATGCATCCATTTCGAGCTATAGTTGATATAAAGTGTGCGTAGCGACACCGCCGGAAAGTGGACACATTGTCCATCGCGATGGCGACGATTTGTTGCCACCGCTACCGCACGCCGCGGCGATCGCGTACATGTCCGCCATACAGTCCACCAGAGGCAACCTTTGTGTAGGGACTTGTCTCGTGCTCTGGGCCAGCAACATTTTGCACTCTGCGACGACTTTCTCGGTCATGGTAGCGCCATACAGCTCTACGACGCGGTCGCGCAACTACACGCGGCCCGAGACGGTCTCTGCTTTGAGCGCGGCGCACTTGCCGGTGGTAAAACGGGGCGCAATCTTCGATATGAAATGGCATCGGTGCGCGGCGACGACGTGCTCTGGCTCGACGGCACCGAGCCCGCGTGTCCGCCTGCGATTGTGACGACGCTCCGTCAGCTGGATCGCCTTATTCTGGAGCGCCTCGCTGGTGTCAACTCGGAACTGCGTTCGTACGTGGCGTCACGTCATTAAGCGTACACTTTAACGCGTCAAATAAACATAATAGGTGTGCGCTGCAGCGACAGCGCGTCATGCTGACATGCTACCCCGGCCACGGCGCGGCGTACGTCAAGCATTGCGACAACCCGAACCGCAACGGCCGCAAGGTACAAAGCGATTATCAAAACGCGTTTTTATCTTTGACGCACTAGCTGACGGCGATCCTGTACTTGAACCCTCTTTGGGACGAACGCGATGGCGGACAGCTTGTGCTGCACCGGACGCCAATAACACGCATTAGCCCAGTTCTAGACCGGCTTTTACTTTTCTTTTCCGACACGCGGGTGCCGCACGAAGTACTGCCGTCGCACGCGAAACGGTTCGAGCCGACGCATCGATACAATCTAATACGTGTGGCTAGGTATGCACTCACCGTGTGGTACATGGACTGGGACGAGTTCATGGAGGCGCAGGTCTTTACGGACACGACCAGCGAGACGCACGAGCGACGCCACATCGAGGCTGAAATTGAAAAATTCCACGCCAAAGCTTCGTAACCTGCAGCTACTAAAAGAATTCTTGGGCAATCACATCTACCACATTGATGGCTTTTCCCTTTATGACACTCTATATCGTCCAATACATAGTCAACATGAGCCACCCGCATAAAAATCGCATTTCTTCTGGATTGCGTACGGTTTTCCTGTGACTCCAGCGAAGAGTGGGCTAGCTTCGATGGGATGCAACGAATGTGCTTATCATATTGTTAAGACCTCTCGGGTATTGTATACAGAAATCTATTGGCGCGACTTTTCCTGGAACGTGTTGATGCGGTTGTCGCTCATGAGCCGGATCGAGTTGCGGTGCGAGTTCCAGCTCGACTCGTTGACGTTGTCGCGGATCGGGCTGCCGCGGTTCTCTTTGCTCCAGTGCACGTGCGGGCAGCTTGTCAGGTAGCGCACCGACGCGCCGCCAGCAAGCGCGCATGCGCCGACGATGACGCCGATGACGGGCCACGCGGCCGTGTCACGGAGCCAGGCCTGGGCGAACGTCGTGGCTTTCGCGCGATGGGCCATAGTGCTGCTGGAGGAAAAAATGAAAAGTGAAGAAGTTGTGCAAGATTGTTGGCGTCGTCCCGGTACGAGACGACGGGTGTGCTCGCGTACC